ATCCAATCTTGAACACAAAAACACTTTGTAACATTCATCTTTCATCAATACAATCCAAATTCGTCGATCTTTGTCTTTATTTTTACATCACTCTTACCAGAATTCTTGCCCAAATTCTTCTACCACAAAATCAACACACTAAATCCTTGAGTGTGGATTTTAAGATCCACATTTTGGCGCCGTCTGTGGGGAAGAAACAGAGAAATTCTTACACCTGAGACCGATCTCAAAGCCAAGTAAGAACGAAATGGATCCCAGAAACGTTGAAACAACTGCCTCAAAGACAAGCTCCGGCCTCGCACTAAACTTCAGCATCGCAGGACGATCTGGAGGTGCCGAGATCACCGATCAACAAAGCTCGTCTGCCCATAAACAGATAAACGAGTCGAGCGTCGCAAAACCGACAACCAGCTCGACTCAAACTGTTTCTTCGAGCGTGATGCGAACTACCGGCATGCCCGCCGTGTCACGCTCGGAGTCCGGAACGGCCCCAATATTCACATATTCGCGGACCTGGACAAAATTTGGAATTCCACCGATCGGATCCAGCAGTTCGAATCAAACTGAATCCGTTTGGGTCGGATCGTCTCAGACGATAGCTAGCGACGACCTAGCGGAATTTCGAAGGATGCTAGCCTTCTTGGCAGAACACATTCTCACACGAAATGAGAAAGAGATAGCTAGCTTGCGACGAGAGCGGACAAAACCAACTCAGTCTCAGGGCGAAGATCACGACGATCTATCCGAAGAGGAAGATCGAAGTCCGCCCCTGACTACTCGATTGGAGTTCGAACACCTCACAAATGACAATCTGTTAGCACAGTTCGTCACTCCGTCGCGAACTAACAACACCCCAATATTTAGTGAGATAGTCAATCATCTGCCGATACTCGGATCCGGAACAACGGAGCATGAAACACCTGCGGCAGACGATTGTCGAAATCACCTATCAACACCTCTATTCTTCCGCAGATCCCAAGGTCGTAGTACGAAACGTGCTAACCCGCCAACCGACAGGCGATCTAACGAAGAACAGATTGTCGACGACACTTTCCAAACCGGAAGTCAGCAACAAGGAAACGCGCGTAATAAGAAGCGTGCGGAGGACCCTCCAAATATCATAGATCCGCGATCTATAAACAACTTCGATGCGCTCCAGCGATACATCGAAGCAAACAACACCGAGGTAAAACGTATGTACGCCGCAGTACATAAAGCAACGAGTGCGGCTCCTGATATAGATCGCGTGCTGGACGAAACTAGAAAGACCCCCTTCACCGATAGCATAGCTAACGCTAAGATCAAGGACACTGGGAAAATGCGGTTCCCAGAATATAATGGAACAGCAGATCCCTTAGCTCACCTCAGAGCTTTTAGGCTCTCCGTAGCCCGAGCTCATCTCAACGATGAGGAAAAAGAAGCAGGCTATTGCTGGCTTTTCGCCGAAAATCTAGTCGGATCCGCCCTAGAATGGTTCGCCGGGCTAGAAGAAGGATCCATTGACAATTTCCAACAGCTCGGTTCGGCCTTTCTTAAGCACTATTCGGTGTTTATAATGCCCAAGGCCACGGAAGCCGACCTATGGACCTGCAGACAGAATCACCAGGAGCCCCTGCGGTCTTACTTGGCTAGGTTCAAGGAAATAAAATCCAGGATACCCGAACTAAACGAGGGAGTAGCGCTCTCCGCACTCAAACAAGGGCTATGGTTCGACTCACCTTTCAGACAGGAACTATCGGTTCGCTGTCCGGTGTCTCTAGACGACGCTTTGCATCGAGCTTCGCTCGCTACGAGGAAGAACAAAACGTCCTCCGAGAACAGTTCGAAGCCGGGTTACTAACACCCAACCTCTCTACCTTTGCAGACACGGACTCCCTTATGAGATCGTGATAGACATTAGTACTAAGTATCCGCCGGACCCTTTTGTCCGGAAAACGGAGAACTTAACAAAGAAATGCCAAAAGATCGGCAAGGTACTCCGCACTCAAACAAGGGCTATGGTTCGACTCACCTTTCAGACAGGAACTATCGGTTCGCTGTCCGGTGTCTCTAGACGACGCTTTGCATCGAGCTTCGCTCGCTACGAGGAAGAACAAAACGTCCTCCGAGAACAGTTCGAAGCCGGGTTACTAACACCCAACCTCTCCACCTTTGCAGACACGGACTCCCTTATGAGATCGTGATAGACATTAGTACTAAGTATCCGCCGGACCCTTTTGTCCGGAAAACGGAGAACTTAACAAAGAAATGCCAAAAGATCGGCAAGGTATGATCAAAGAACAAAGAGATCGAACCCTTAATCCGAATCCAAAGTTACCAGCAGGGCGCGGTCCGCTACTATAATTCTGGTGCAAAACACCTGAGCTTTAGTATTGGCAATCTCCTGCTACACAAGGTATTCGATAACACTAAAGAGTGTGGCACCAACAAGCTGTGCTCTAACTGGGAAGGTCCTTACGGGATCGTCGAAGTAGTCCGCAGCGGTGTCTACAAACTCGCGAATATCAGAACCGGGGTGCCAGAGATAAGAACGTGGAATGTTATAAATCTCAAACATTACCACCTCCGAGCACTGACAATAATCGAACTACGTTCAGGCTTGATCCCTTGACGGGGTACGTAGGCAGCTCAACACCGAGTCCAGCCACTATCTTTTCTTACTTACTTAGTCAAAATTATAAAATGTATGTAACATCGTGTTTGTGAATAGAAACCCTTATTCCGAAGCTCGCTCACTTCAAGATCTCTTAAAACGATCTCATAGCTCGAGGCCCCGAGCCCGCTAAGTAACTATTGAGCCGAACAATCTCAGCTTAGTTCGCTATCATATTGGGTAATTAATAGTCATAGTTTATAGCTCGCTAAACGATAACGAATTCTACCAAAGTAGATTAAAAAGTCGTTATCCGCAGTAAACTATCATAAATTGATCTAAACAGAACGATCATCAAGCTCGTAGTTCGCTGAGTAACTTGGCGCCTACAAAATAAAAGTTACTATCACAGTTCGCTACTCGCTACTTGACACCATAATGCGATCTCTCTAAAACGATCGTATGGTCACAACTTATAAAACTTCGGCACATTTTTAACAAAGAGCATTTATAATGCCTTGTTCGAAATCCTGATCCCATGATCAAAAATTACGCGATATAGGTCGTTCAGGTCTCATGGGGTGAAAAATTCTCCATAAAATAGTCCGCCCCTTTAGTTCGTTTCTCACTAAACGGGCTGGGGGGCAATTGTTGGTGTTGGATTTAGCCCAAATCCAGCCCATAAAGCACTTTGAGTGAACAAGCCATTATAAGGGAAGTTTTGGGCCCTATAAGCCCGTAACTAAGGCAAGGAAAGCATCTCCAAGGAATATACTCAAGTACAAGTCAATCTAAGAGGACGCGGAAAGCTGGATAAAAAGAGATCGCGGAGATCTCGGAGAAGAAGAGGTCGTGGAGAGATAGATAAGAGGAGATTACGGAGATCTCGGAGAAGGAGAGAACGTATCAACCCGCGGATCTCGGAACAGTTTGTCTCGTTCTGTTTAGTATGTTTCGTTCTATTTAGTATAAATAGGAGTTGAATCTCTTGTAAAGGGCATCCAATCTTGAGCACAAAAACACTTTGTAAACATTCATCTTTCATCAATACAATCCAAATTCGTCGATCTTTGTCTTTATTTTTACATCGCTCTTACCAGAATTCTTGCCCAAATTCTTCTACCACAAAATCAACACACTAAATCCTTGAGTGTGGATTTTAGGATCCACAATGATTAAGATTCAAAAATTTCCACCTAGATAACTCAGTAAACCCCTCATTGATCTCTGATTTATTTACTCATACTTTCAAAGGGAGACTCTGAGGTGAGAAGGGTACCAAGTCCTCAAAGCAACTTCACCAGGTCGCTTACTTCAAAGGGTACCAAGTCCTCAAAGCAACTTCACGTCGTACTCCGAAAACGCAAACATCGGAGCTCCGAACGGGTTCTCGGGTTACGGATCCGGGTCAAACGTAGTCAAATCGGGTTTTACCGGGTACGGAGAGACCGCGAACGGAGCTGACGACACCGCGAGACGAAACGGTGCGTTGGATCGTCAAATTCTTCCGAACAAAGATGTTTTTGCCCCTAGCTATAGTTTCGAATTTACCTTTTCCATTTTCCGAGAGAGGCAAGATACAGAGAATCTTCGGCGCCGGAGAGAATTCGTCGATGGCGGAATGTGAAAGACCGCCAAGCCACGGCGAGACGAAACGGTGCGTCGGATCGGCGGAGGACATGATAGATTTCGCCACGTCGGGAAATGTCGTCGGGTCAAAGAAGAAGATCGTGATCGGGAAAGTCCAAGGAATCAACGGTGATAATGTGACGAGAGCGGTATCGTGTCACTAGAGTCTCTATACCCGTATTTACCGTATTATTGCCACTCGGTGCCTCGGGTACGGGTTTATGATACGGATATTATCCACCCGGATATCCTATTGAAACGTCAGCATGCAGTCCGAGTCATGCAGCGCTTTGGCGTCGGATCCGGGTCGGATTCAAGTTTTCCATTGGATCTTTGAAAATGATATGACGTGGACTACCGTTGACGTTGAGTAAAATTTTGGCAATTTCTTACCGTTTGGCCATTTTCTTTTCTTGAGATTTGTTTCATCAGTTTTTTCTTTTCATAAATTATGCAAGGCAAATTTATAGAAAACTCTGTGTACGTTTTATACTAAAAAATTGTGTTCACAAAAAAAGTTTATACTTAATTAAAAACTGGCACAACAGTAAATATTCATGGAAGAAGATGGTAGTTACGGGAGTAAAGAGAGAGAGCGGTAACAACTAACTGAAAGCATCCATCTCTAGTCTTCTTGGTCGTCTTCTTCTTCTTCGCTTCATCTCCAAGAAACAACTACTTATATTCATTTCATCACTGCGAAATCTTCTTCTTCCTCTTCTTCTTCTTCTTCTTCAATCGTATCAATCATCGAGTTTCATCACTTAAAGAAGAAGGCATGGGAGATCACCCTGTATTAAATCATCTGAATATGATGATCGATGACTCTTGGCCTCACGAGTACGTGTACAACCTGAATCCATGGATTACCTTCAACAATACTACAAACCCTAAATACATGGTGTTCGTCAAATCCCGAACCGAGGCTAGTGGTAGAACCGATGACGGATGCGGAGCGGGTTGCTGGAGAATCATAGGTCGTGATAAGCTGATCAAGTCTGAAGAGACCGGGAAGATTCTAGGGTTCAAGAGGATTCTTAAGTTCTGTGACAAGGAGATGAACCGATCAGATAAGAGGATTTGGGTAATGGAAGAGTTTAGGCTCTTCGATAAACGTAAGCAAGATCAAGTGATAGGCCTGATTCAGCTTCTGCTCCCACCTGCGGTTAGTGCCTTGCTAGCCAAGCATTTCTCGTTTCTCCCCAAGTAGATGATTGCTTGGATAATCCTAGGGTTCCTCTCACTTAACTACCATGGTTCGACGTTACTTAGTATCTTTACGCTGGAGATTGAGGATTCGATGCTTCTTTACGTTACTAGGATTCGATCCTTACGTTTCTAGATCAAACTCATATTGCAGATAGTTTTTTACTTTTTTTCTTTAGACTCTGTAGAACTTGATGATGACTGATAAGTCTGGTGCTTCTTGCTTTTGTATAGTTTCTTAGTTCTCTACTCAATTTGGCTGCGGTGGTGAAATACACCTCATGCAATTTGTCAAACACACATTGTTCACTTTGTTAAAGAAGTATACGATAGAGCAACACTCTTTTTATATTTTTGTGAATGGTTTTCGATTTAGCTTGAAAATGGTTACAATGTTGCGATCAAAACGGTACAAATAAACTCTCAGCAGAGCTCTCTGCAACGAGTAAAAAAAAAGAAAGACAGCAAACGGTACAAAATGCGCCTTGAGAGTGAGTGTTAGGCAACCAAGCATTGAGCAGTTTCAGAAGCCAAATAGAGATACTTTAGTCGATGTTCTGTTTCTGATATGAGTTTAACTTCAGCGAGCTGAGGAGTGAAATCTTATTGTTTGCCAAGTAAGAAGTTCTCATATTTGAGCAGCTGAGAAGTGGTCAACAGTGTTTGTCTGCCTGATCAGATGTGCGAGATTTCAGCGTAGAGTGTTACCGATCATACACAAGACAACATCATCAGTGCTTTTCTCTGCGCTATTATTAGCCTCAGTTCTCAATACACAGCCCCAAATAGCAAAGCAACATTCTGTCTCTTTTCTATGTACAAATCATGTTTCTTTTCATGATTAAGATTCAGAAATTTTCACCCATTGATCTCTGATTTCTTTACTCATAACACACTTTCAAAGGGAGACTGAGAGGTCAGAAGGGTACCACACTTTCAAAGGGAGACTCTGTTGGCAAGTCCTTGAGGCAACTTCACCAGGTAGTACTTGCCATGTGACTATCTCTGTAAAGATCGAAGATGATTGAGCTGATGCATACCACAAATTCTCCTCGTCTGATCTGTCTTCTCCAATGCATACCACAAAATTCGGTGCCTTCCCTTTTTGAACCATTCTGCTAAGAACTTTCCCAGTGACAAGACCTTTGCTTACTCCCTGTTCCTCCAAAGATATTAGTTCAGGTCTAAGTAAAAAACCAGACAATATAAGGATTGCGTTGACTCTATGCAATGAACCAGGGACATTATAAATCATACAAGATTTGGTGATATTAACAAGGCATTAGTTTAGGTCTATGTGAAAACCAGAAAATATAAGGATTGCTTTGATTTATCGCAATGAAAGAACGCCGCAATGAAACAAGGACACTGTAAAATCATAGAAGATTTGGAAATTTCTCTATGGATCATTGTGTTTTGGGTTCTTTATTGCTTATCATCCTTTGCTTGACAAGAACCAAAGACTGCATTTTGGTGATGCCACACCAAAGAACTTTCTTTCGCTTCTATATTGGATCCATCAGTAGTTTCTGTATATAGTATCAGATAGGTTCCACGATTTTCTTCCATTCAAGGTCATCAGATAAGCCGCTTGTTTCCCAGTCAGAAGACATATTCCACCTGCATTACAACGATTGTGTTCTTACTTTTATTCTCTGTGCAAGAAAAGTTTCAGGACACTATCAGAATTAAGACAAACCAGCAACGTGCCTTGTGGAAGTATCCGTGGTAAGACGCTATTCCAAGATTCTCACACGGCGCAAAGCACTCACTTAAAAGAAACTTCACCCTCTTCCTAAATGTAGTGTCTTTAACTTGAGCAGACATATCGAGGTCTGGTAATCAAGAAATACTAACACTGTTGCTCGGATTTTGAGAAAGCACTAACAGTTTTCTCAATGTACAGCCTTCTGAGACTAATGGAGAGGGCGAGGAGCCTAAAACCCATACTCCAACCTAAACACGAGATGCCCTATCCACATCCTGAAAAAATCTGCGGATCCAATATGCTACATCATGTTTACTAATGAAGTTACAGTGTTTTTTAAATGTTGTAATTGCTTCTCAAAATCAAACATGGTAATGGCAGAATATATATCTACAGCATCAACGTCCCAAGGATTAACCTTAATCCTCTTCAAGAAGGTTAGCAAGCAATGAACTCTGACAGAACAAGTGTGGTTTGTGTTTATCACTTACTCCTAGAGATTTATATCACCAACAACGCATGTATACGAATGAATAAGATAAAAAAAAAAATTCTAGAGAAAACCATCTAAACAGTCAACGAACCAGAAATTTCCCAAAACTTCACCATCCCGAATCGTTCACAAAACCAGCAAACTCAACTTATCATTTCACAATCAACACAAGTGCTTTTCCAAGTTCGCTGTTAAATTCGCAAAATTTGAAAACTTTACCTGAGTAAAAGACGGTCTATCAGAACCCAGAATCTCGAAGTGCAATCACGTCTAATTCACAAATAAATCTACCGGAAAACTCCGAATTGCGGCGAATAAGATTCTTCTGATTCAGGGAAGAAAACATGTGTCAGTCTATTTGGGATTAGTTGATAGAGGTGAGCAAACGACAGCGTATTAGGTTTTAGATTAGTAGATGGAGCTATGAAAACGACAGTGAAGTTGTTTATTGCGTCCCACATTGGTAAAATAAAGATAGAACGTGGTGTTTATAAACGTGTGAGAGGAAAGCTGAGTTCATGACCTTACTTGAACAGGATCTAAGCTATAAACTCGTACCTCTGTTAAAATTTTTTTTTTATTCTTGCCTCTTAACTTTTTGTTTCTTCCATTTTCACCTTGAACTTTTTAATGGTAACGAAAAACCCCTTCTGCAGTTGGATCGTGTCAATCCCATAATCTTTTTTTTTTAAAAAAAAAAAGGAAATTGTAATGAATAATAGTCTGTAGAAAAAAATTTGTAAGAATAAAAAGTAATTTTTTAACTCTTGTGCAAAGACACTGTTCATTCCCAGCTTCCAATCTCATGTCATAAAAATTGCATCATAACAATAAAAACTTTGCACGTCTGACACAATTTTATCTTTTTGTTTCGTCATTTTCTTTTTAAATTAAAAATTATTTCTTCCTTTCATACACAGGATTTCAAAATCTGAAATCAAATTCTTAATTTCCAAATCCTTTTCTTATATCCTCTTTCTTCCGTCTACAGAACCATTTTTCACTTTGACGACATGTATCGAAACAACGTTTTTAATCCTGAATCCACTTCGCCGGAGAATCATTCCCAATCTTTGCTACCAGTCGAACGTGAATTCTTACTATCTTCTTTGTCGAGCAGCTGTCCTCCAATCCTCAACATCTTCGCATCTTCTCCTTTGGTGTCTGAACGCAGGTTCTCTAATCTACTAATTCTTTCACATTTTTTAGTTATGTAGTAGAACTGATGTTTGTTTTCATCTGAAATCCTCAATCCTCTTACATTTGATTTCCGTAGAAGACCCATAGTCTTCGTCTTTTCTTTTCTTTTTTTCAGCTGTGCCTAAAATCTCATACCTCTTCACCAGAATTTGTCGTTTTTAATTTTTTAGTTAGTTAATTAGATAAAATCCAAATCCAGATTTACAAAACTTCCGAGCCACAATTACTTGTTATATTGTAATTAAATAGTCGCCTTCTAGTATTGCTGAAGTCCAATACAATAGCTTCTATTATATAGTCAACTTCTTTTGTTAAGGTAAACACACTAATGGGTATATTGTTATAAAATAGTTGTCTACTTATTAGACAGCTAAGTATAGTCAACTTGTTTGCATATAAGTAGTTCTTAACTTGATACATGTAGGGTCTAGGGAACAATTCAGGAACAGATCTCTGTGTCATTATTTGTCTATTAATAGTTGTCTACTTTTCATTTAGTTTTCAGAATGGCCAACATTCCTTTAGGTACAGACGCATCCCCTACTGAAGCTCTATGTGTCTCGGTGAATCATGTGCTTCTAAATATATTGTGGTCAACTTAGATGTTAGTTGTTGTCTATTAATAATTATCTACTTTATTTTTTTTCAGCCGCTTAGATCTGATTTACAGATGTGTTTTCTCTGATTTACGTTTTCAAATATATTGTGGTCAACTACAATCATATAGTAGTGTTAAATCTGCATTTTTTTCATATCCGTCCATTACAAAGTAGTGTCATATCTGTCTATTTATGTTAACATTGCTAATCAACTACAAAAGCGAAACCAAGATGCAGATCATATGTTATTTATTGTCTACTAATAGTTGTCTACTTTATATTTATTTATCAGAATGAACAACTTTCTACTAATAGTTGTCTACTTTAGATTTATTTATCAGAATGGACAACCTTCCAACAAAAGACACATCCACTTCTGAACATCTCAACGTCTCAGCAAATAATGTGTTTCTCCAGATTCGGGATGTACTGCTTGATGTCTTTGTAAGGCTAAGGAGAGAATGGGTGGCCGATGCTATTTCTTTTGGTTGTTATCTGGAAAAAGCATGTTAAACCAGTTCTTTTATATTTAGTTGTTGTCTCTTGTTTTAGTAGAATACATATGGGTAGATGTCTATGATTTACATTATAATTATGAACCTTTTACATATTTTGCAGTCAACTACTATTATGAACATTCGATTTTGAATTTGTAGCCAACTATTTATTAGATTATGTTTCAATTTAATTTTCAATAGTAGTTGGTATTTTTGTGTAACTGACTACTTGGAATTACTATTAAGAGATATCCTTACTCAGAAAGTCAGAAATACCTCTTATTCTATTGTTCACACTAGCCTCCTTCAAAAACACTAACATAGCGATTTCTCCTTTGATCAAGTTCGTATTCATATAATTGAAATCAAATATGTTGTAGTCTTATATTTTTATTCATGTCAGATTACTTTACATGTTACCGAATATATTGCAGACCTCCCAGAACCGAATTCGGAGTCTGGAAAGGTCAATGTTCATAACCATCTACTAGTAGACATCTACTATATAGTCAATTTATTTCATGGGTGATGTGTTAATGTCAACCGAGGAGATTTCAGACCTCCCAGATCTGAATGTCGAGCCCGCTAAAGATCAAGTTCGTATTCACCTATTAGTAGCGGCCTATTTTATAATCAATTATTTTCACTTATCTTGTGTTACTGTTTAGTCCACCCTCGAAAATGCAAATATCCCAGACCCAAATTCCGAGATTGATAAAATACAGGTTCGTATTTAGTTATTAATAGTTGTCTATGTAGTTGATATATGTACGCGACTATCTTTTCTATTTTATTGTGTTTGTTGACAACCAAGGATAATGCAGACATCCCAAACCCGAATTCCGAGATAGACAAAAGACAGGTTTGTAACCATATATTAATAGTTGTTTATCTAATTGATATATGTATTTGACTATGTCTCTTATTCTTTTGATCGTTCAGACTACAGATGTGAATGTTGGTCTCCCCGATCCCAATTATGAAGTAGCTAAAGAACTGGTATGTAATCGACTTTTAATAATCGTCTATTTATGTAAGACCTGTAATCGAGTGTCTCTTATTGTAGTACACTATTTTATAATCGATTATTTTTACTTATCTTGTGTTACTGTTTAGCCCGCCCTCAAAAATACAGACATCCCAGACCCGAATTCCAAAATTCATAAAATACAGGTTCATATTTAGCTATTAATAGTTGTCTATGTAGTTGATATATGTACTCGACTATGTTTTCTATTTTATAGTGTGTGTTCAGACAAACGAGGATAATGTAAACATCCCAGACCCAAATTCTGAGATAGACTAAAGACAGGTTAGATAGACTGAAGACAGGTTTGTATCCAGCTTTTAATAGTTGTCTATCTAATTGATATATGTATTCGGTTATGTCTCCTATTTCTTTTGATCGTTCAGGTTACCAATGTGAATGTTGGCCTCTCCGATCCCAATTATGAAGTCGCTTAAGAACATGTATGTATCGACTTTTTATAATCGTCTATTTATGTAAGACCAGAATCCAGATTTTTTTATTGTAATACATTATGTTTACATATTTTACATATATATTACAATTCTCAGTTCAGTATGTAGTTAACTATATTTTAACGATAATCGACTACTGTAAGGGATATTGAACCCAGTACTAGACGATCCTCTAGCTTTTCTCATTCATAGTCAATCCTCCAGCTTTTTCCCTTAGTTTTTTTCTCTTGGATTATATTTTAATCATAATCGTATACACTCTAATCGATGCATAAAAGTAGCCACTGCTACCGTTCTAAATTTGATGGTAGCATCTTCAACTTTACAAAAAGTAGACGTCATTTTCATGTCAGGAAAAAGCATTGTTTTGGATAAGGAAGCAAGGGGTTTTTTATATTTTCCCCAACTTCTAGACGGTTGACTACTGCTATTTAACTAATTAACTGTTCTTGTATATTATTTATCTAACTGTCAGTGTAAAAGGTATTATTTATGCAAATCACCTTTTTAAAAAGAATTAAGTTACATTTCGCTTTCTTCCTCGTTTACAGAGCAGTCGAGTGTGCAAATTTGCTGAGAGTTTCGTTTTGTTGCTTTGTTACTCTCTCAAATTTGAAATTTAGATGGGGTTTTTTTTTTTTTTTAATTTTGATACTTGAACATACTTATGGGTTTTGTTATGGAGAGGGAGAAATCTAAGGACCTTGTTATGAAGAAGCTTTTAAGTTTTACCCAAGAAGGACCTTTAGTTTGAGAGTTGAGACTATTGATGATTGTCAATACAGTTTTGAGATGATTGTCAATACTGTTCTGAGTTCATTATCCTCTCACTTTCAAACTCATTCAGACTATCTTGGACTATAATGATCTAAATGGTTAGTTTCAGCGACTATGCAACCTCTACAAGGCTAATTGGGAATGTTTTCTCTGGAATTACTGAACAATTTGATTATTGGTTTGATGTTTATGTGTTCTTGCCAAACATTTAATTATAGCTCTAAATTTGAGAGGATTATGAGACTCAGATTTCGAGTTTAGAGTATAAAGAGTTGATCTGTTTGGACCTTGAGAATATGTCTTGCTTGGAAAAAAGAGACGTATCTTGAAACCAAGATAATTTAAATATCTGTAATTGGTTCACCAAAGGTAGTATGATTGGCACAAATCTGAGAAAACGAGCGTTCCAGGCATGAGCCTCAACAAAAAGTTCACAAGAGCCACCGCATTTATTAATTATGGGTTGTGCAGAGAAGCTATGTGATGTTCTTTGTGTTTCTTGTTATAGAGAGAAGGAAAACGATTAGTGCAATGACTGATTCAAATGATGTATTTTCTTGGAAAGACACATAATTTATCCTTTTAAAAAAATAAAAAGGACACATAACTTAACATTTTTGCTTTGTGTCATTGCCTGATTTCCTGACAGATTCTTAGGACATTCTTACACATTAAGTATGGAGATCCTGGTACACTTCATCGAGCCTTTTCTTCTGAAATAATTGTATTCAGTCAAAAAAGTACAAGGCAAACAAAAATGTAGGATAGTATTTAAAATGAAAAAAAAAAAAAAAAAAAAAAAAAAAAAAATCCTAACTCAACCTCTAACATGTGAGAATGTCCATGATGTTTTGAGTTAACTTCTATATATAAATTTTACAAAAGATATAACTCAAAATTGTAACTCAAACATAACACACAACAACTTAAACTCAAACTTAAAAAGTTCAAACTCAAAATTTTTAAACTAATTCATTATTGGTAACATTTTTGATTATTCAATGAATTACACCTATATAACTCAAACTAATGCAAATATAGCTCATGTCAGAAATCAAAGCCTAGACATACAGTAAAGCAAATTTTATGACTAAGAAAAAAGAGAGAAAGCAAGTTTATAGAAATCTCAGTGTAAGTTTTATACTAAATATTTGTTCCAAAAAACAAGATTTCTAGTACTAAATAGAAACTGGCACAACAGTAAATATTCGTGGTAGAGGAGGGCAAATACGGGAATAGAAGAGAGAGAACAGTAACAAGTAACAACTAACTATAAAGCATCTCTTTTCTTATTCGCTTGATCTCCAAGAAACAACTTACTTCTTTGTTTCTCTCTAAATATTCATTTCATCACTGCGAAATCCTCTTCTTCTTTTTCTTCTTATTCTTCTTCAGTCCGATCAATAGAGTTTCATTACTTAAGCAGAAGGCATGGAAGAAGATCACTCTGTATTATCTGTAGACGATGATGACCAACGAATCGAACCAGCAGACGAGGTAATCATCTCATATTATCTGAATATGATGATCAACAATGGAAAATCTTGGCCTAGCCACTTTTTCCGAGACGTATACGGGCACGTGTACAACCGGAATCCATGGATTTTCTTCAATGCTCAGAGCCCTAACTACTTGATTTTCGTCCAAACCCGAACCGAGGCTTGTGGTAGAACCGATGACGGATGTGGATCAGGTTGCTGGAGGATCATAGGTCGTGATAAAGTTATCAAGTCTGAGGAGACAGGGAAGTTTCTAGGGTTCAAGAAGATTCTTAAGTTCTGTGAAAAGGAGAAGAACAGATCAGAAAAGAGGATTTGGGTAATGGAAGAGTATAGGCTCGTCATTAAACGGAAGCAAAATCAAGTGATATGCAAGATTCGGCTTTTGCCCTCACGCAAAGTTAGTTCCTTGCTAGCCAAGCATTTCTCTTTCCTTGATAACCGAAACGATTGGCTTAGCGATTTCTTCGTGCCGTGGAGGCTTGTGCATCCTCGTCAAAGCTCTTACCAACTACACAAGGGAAGCTTCTTCTTCGTTAACCGGATAGAGAACTGTGGTAGAACCGATGGTGATCATCTCGAAGAAGAACAAGATTCTTTGTTTCAAGAGGGTTTTCAAGTTCTGTGAAAGCGATACGTATAAATTCGTCAAACCGGTTTTTAAAAATACTTGGATAATGGAAGGGTATAGGGTTGCTAAGAAGAGGATGCAAGGTAAAGTGATTTGCAGGATTAAGCTACTTGATTCGACATTACTAAGAAAACTTTACTCTGGAGGTTGAGGATTCCATGTAGAAAACTCAGTGTAAGTTTTATACTTTTAAAATTTTGTTCACAAAAAAAAAAAGTTTTAGACCTTAGGTCCTTAATTGAAATTCGGCACAAGTTACAACAGTAAATATTTGTGGAAGAAGAGGGTAGTTACGGGAATAAAGAGAGAGAACGGTAACAACTAACTGAAAGCATCTCTCTTCTTCGTCGTCGTCTTCTTATTTGCTTCATCTCCAAGAAACAACTTACTTCTTTGTTTCTCACTCTACAGATCCGATATTCATTTCAACACTACGAAATCTTCTTCTTCTTCCTCTTCAATCCGATCAATCGAATTTCATCACTTAAAGAAGAAGGCATGGGAGATCACTCTGTATCATCCGAAGGCATGGGAGAAAACTCTGTATCATCCGAAGGCATGGGAGAAAACTCTGTATCATTCGAAGATGATGATGACCAAATCGAACAAGCAGAAGAACAAGGCATGAAAGTAGAGTACTATATATCATCTTCAGAAGATGATGATGAACGAATCCCAGCAACAGACGAGAGAGTGATCTCACATCATCTGAATATGATGATCAATGACTCTTGGCCTCACGAGTACGTGTACGACCTGAATTCATGGACTACCTTCAACAATACTCCAAACCCTAACTACATGGTGTTCGTCAAATCCCGAACCGAGGCTAGTGGTAGAACCGATGACGGATGCGGAGCGGGTTGCTGGAGGATCATAGGTCGTGATAAGCTGATCAAATCTGAGGAGACCGGGAAGATTCTAGGGTTCAAGAGGATTCTTAAGTTCTGTGACAAGGAGATGAACCGATCAGAAGAGAGGATTTGGGTAATGGAAGAGTTTAGGCTCTTCGATAAACGTAAGCAAGATCAAGTGATGTGCACGATTGAGCTTCTGCACCTACCTAAGGTTAGTGCCTTGCTTGCCAAGCATTTCTCGTTTCTCCCTAAGAAGATGATGCTTGGATGATCCTAGGGTTCCTCCCACTAGACTACAATGGTTCGACGTTACTTAGTATCTTTACGCTGGAGATTGAGGATTCGATGTTTGTTTCTGGGTTTCATGTAGATCAAACTCATATTGCAGATAGTTTTTTTTCTTTAGACTCTGTTGAAGTTGATGATGACTGATAAGTCTTTGCTTTTTGCTTTTGTATAGTTTTCTTAATTCTCTATTCGATTTGGCTGCGGTGGTGAAATACACCTCATGCAATTTGTCAAAACATACATTGGTCACTTTGTTAAAGAAGTATACGAAAGAGCAACCCTGTTTTTCTATTTTGGTGAATGGTTTTCGATTTAGCTTGAAAATGGTTACAATGTTGCGATCAAAACGGTACAAATAAACTCTCAGCAGAGCTCTCTGCAAGGAGTAAATAAGAAGATGACAGCAAACAGTAAAAAATGCGCCTTGGGAGTGAGTGTTAGGCAACCAAGCATTGAGCAGTTCAGAAGCCAAAGAGAGATACTTTAGTCGATATGAGGATGCTCTGTTTCTGATTTGAGTTTAACTTCAGCGAGCTGAGGAGTGAACTCTTGTTGTTTGCCAAGTAAGGAGTTTAGCATATTTGAGCAGCTGAGAAGTGGTCAACAGTGTTTGTCTGCCTGATCAGATGTGCGAGATTTCAGCGTAGAGTGTTACCATCGTGTTATGGGTTCTTTATTGCTTATCAACAAAAGATGGGGGTGAAAAAAGCGTATTACCTGAGGCTTAACATCAACGATCTGGTGGCCTCTGTTGACAACAACCGGTTCATTCAGGAGAACGGTTTCTAGATGGTTCGGTAGTTCCTTTGCTTGACAAGAACCAAAGTCTGGGTCTGCATTATGACGATGCCACACCAAAGAACTTTTTTTCGCTTCTAATATTGGATAAGCACTTTGTTTCTCCGTCAGAAAACTTATCCCCCCCTGCATTATAACGAATGTGTTCTTAGTTTTATTCTCTGGCAACATAAAGTTTTAGGGCAATATCAGAATTAAGACAAACCAGCAACGTGCCTTATGAAGTATCCGTGTTAAGACGCTATTCCAAGATTCTCACCTAAATATGGTGTCTTTAACGCTGACATAACTTCAACAGACATATCGAGGTCTGGTAATCAAGAAATACTAAGGGTTTTCTCAATGTACAGCCTTCTGAGACTAAAACCCATACTCCAACCTAAGCCCAAGATGCCCTCTCCAAATCCTGAGAAAATCTGCGGTTCCAATATGCTACATCATGTTTACTAATGAAGTGAGTGTTTTTTTTTAATGTGGTAATTGCTTCTCAAAATAAAAAATGGTAATGGCAGAATATATCTTCAGCATCAACGGCCCAAGGATTAACCTTAAACTTATTCAAGAAGGTAAGTAGCCTATAAACTCAGACAGAACAAGTGTGGTTTGTGTTTATCACTTACTCCTAGAGATTTATATCACCATAATCACCAACAACGCATGTATACGGAAAGTATTGAGATGAATCCAGTTATCCCATTGTTTTGCCTCAATTCAGACCTTCGAATGAATAACATAAAAATCTAGTGAGAACCATAAAAAACAGTCATTGAGCCAGAAATTTCTCAAAACTTCACAATCTAAATCTTTCACAAAAGCAGCAAAATCAACTCATCACTTCACAATCAACAAGTGCTTCACCAAGTTCCCTGTTTAAATTCGCAAAATTTGAAAACTTTACCTGAGTAAAAGACGGTCCATCAGAACCCAGAATCTCGAAGTGCAATCATGGCAGATTCATAAATAAATCTAACGGAGAACTTCTAATCGCGGCGAATAAGATTCTTCTGATTCAGAGAAGAAACCTCCGTCAGTCTATTTGGGATTATTAGTTCATAAAGGTGAGCAAACGACGACATATTAGGTTTTAGTGCATTGAGGTTCTAAACGACGACGTATGCAGGATTAGTACATGGAGCTGTGAAAACGACAGCGTATCGGTCCTATCGGACATGTGAAATTGTTTATTTCGTCCCACATCGCTAAATAAAGATAAACTGTATTGTTTATATACATGTGAGAGGGGAGCTTAGTTCACGACCTTACTTGAACAGGATCAATTCTATAGGCTCGTACCTCTGTATCCTTGATTTCTAAGGAGACAGGCCCTCAATCCTGGTTGATGATTCAAAACCGTGCGATCTGAGTGTGATTGACGGCCACGATTCTCTTCGGAGTCTCTGCGCTGTAGAGGATCGCTACCTGGTCTGGGCTTGACCTAGTCAGGGTGGTCGCACGGTTGTCTGACAGGTTCCTTTTTTTTTTTTTTTCACCTCATAACTTTTGGTTTCTTACATTTTCACCCTGTAATTTTTTAATCGTCACAAAAAAATCCTTTCTGGAATTGGATCGAGCCTGTCACATAATCTTAATCTCCATTAAAAATAACATAATCATAATGTTTAAGTTCCTTTTCGCTTTCTTCCTCGTTTACAGAGCAGCCGAGTGTAAAAATTTGCTGAAAATGTTAAGAGTTTGTTTTGTTGCTTTGTTATTCTCTAGAATTTTGAAATTCATATGGGCTTTTTTTTTTAATTGCTGATAATTGAACATACTTATGGGTTTTGTTAATGAGATGGAGGAATCTAAGGACCTTCTTATGAAGAAACTCTTTAAGTTTTACCCAAGAAGGACCTTTTAGTTTAAGAGTTGAGACTCTATTGATGATTTTGTAGGAATCTGTGCTGAGGTATATACATTTTTATGTCGACTTCACAAATTAGGGATGATTGTCATTACAGTTTTGAGTTCAGTATCCTTTTAAGTTCAAGCTCATTCAGACTATCTTGAACTAAGTGTGGTTATATAACTTAAGAAATCTCTCTAAGGTTAATTGGGAATGTTTCTCTGGATTTACTGAAAATTTTGATTATTGTTTCGGCATTTATGTGTTCTTGCAAAACATTTAATTATAGCTCCAAATTTTAGGATTAATGAGACTTAGTTTTCAAGATAAGAGTATAACGAGTTCATATATTGGTTTGGACCTTGAGAAGGCCAAAATATGTCTTGCTTGCCAAAAAAAAATAATACATATATTGAATCCAAGATAATGTAAAGATCTGTTTGGTTCAGCAAAGGTAGTATGGTTGGCACCAATGTGAGAAAACGATTGTTCGAGGCATGAGCCTCAACACAAAGTTCACAAGAGTCACTGCATTCATTATTGGTTGTGATTGCAGAGAAACTATGTGATCTTCTTTGTGTTTTTTGTTATAGAGAGAAGGAAAACGATTAGTGCTATGACTGATTCGAATGTTAGTATTTTCTTGCAAAGACGCATAACTTAACATTTTTGCTTTTCTGTCATTTTGAAAGGTTCTTAGGACCTTCTTGCATAGGAAGTATGGAGATTCTGGTATACATTTCATCGAGCCTTTTCTTCTGAAATAATTGTATTCAGCCCAAAAAAATAAAAAAATACAAGGAAAAACAAAAATGTAGGATTGTATTTAAAATGAAAAAGAAAAAAACTCCTAACTCAACCTCTAACATATGAGATTGTCCATGACGTTGAGTTAACTTCTAATTTATAAATTTTACAAAGTATATATCTCAAAATTGTAACTCAACCATAAGACACAATAACTTAAACTCAAACTTAAACAGTTCAAACTCAAATTATTTAAACACACAATAACACACAATAAATTTTGCCCTCACGCAAGGTTAGTTCCTTGCTTGCCAAGCATTTCTCGTTTCTCCCTAAGAGGAAAAGACCACGTCCTCGAAGAAGACGGGATCTCTATGGACCAAGAATACCAGAAGATGAGAGAGATTTGTTAACCGGACAGAGATTTGTGGTAGAACCGATGGATGCGATGGTGGTTGCTGGAGGATCATGAGACGTGATAAAGTGATCATCTCGATGAAGAACAAGATTCTTGGTTTCAAGAGGGTTTTCAAGTTCTGTGAAAGCGATAGGTTTAAATTCGCCAAACCGGATCCAAATGGAAGAGGATGCAAGGTAAAGTGATTTGCAGGATTAAGCTACTTGATTCGACATTACTAAGAAAACTTTACTCTGGAGATTGAGGAATCGATGTAGATTCTATTGCCATTTCGTTTTTCTCTTTAGATTCTGTATAACTGGTGATGACTAATGAGTCTCTGCTTCTTCTTTTTTTCTGTAAAGTTTCTTAAATCTCTATTCAATATCGTTGCTGTGGGTCAAGCCATGATCATGTGACACACATGTCTCTGCGATAGAGCAACTCTTTTTTCTTTCTTTTTTTTAGTGAACGGTTTTAGATTTACCTCTTACAAAGATAACTGTTACGATCAAAAATGGTACAAATAGAACTTGGAGCAGTTTAGAACTTCAGAAGTAACTTGAAGCAGTTCAGAAGAGAGGTACCTTAATTAGTCAATAAGAGGATGCTCTGTTTCTGATTGTTTAATCGATAGGTTTCAAAGATTTTGAGTTTTACTTGTGAAAGCTGAAGAGTGAAGTCTATTGTTTGCCAAGCAAGGAATTCTCATATTTTTAAGACTCAGAAATTTTCACCTAAGATGTCTCAGTAAACCTCCATTGATCTCTGATTTCTTACTCATACCACACTTTCAAAGGGAGACTCTGAGGTGGCTTTGGGCTCCAAGTGCTGTTGGCATTGGCAAGTCCTTGAATCAGCTTCACCAGGTCGCTTAGGCATCAAGGTAATCCCATAGTTTTGCCTCAATTCAAAACCTCAAGAATGAATAACATAAACAATCTAGAGAAAACCACAAAAAAAAAAGTCATCGAGCCACTATTAATGGAATTTTGATTCAAAAACAAATCTTTTAATCCTGAGCCGAGTTCACATCAATGGGCTGAGCTCATATCAATAAATTGTCCGCTCCTGATATTAATATATATATATAAAAGGGGACAGCTTCAACAACAAGCACCAGTGGTCTAGTGGTAGAATAGTACCCTGCCACGGTACAGACCCGGGTTCGATTCCCGGCTGGTGCAACGAGCGGTGAGGATTTGGCTTTAGCGATGGTTGGGTCCTTCGCACTACTCTGATATCTCGGATGTGATATAGCCCTTTGTCTGAGCTCTCTTTTTGTAAATTTTTTTAATTAACTGTATTATGAGTTGACTAAAATAAAAATTAATCTATAAGTTAATGCTAATAGGCTATCTTACAAAATTTCAAGAGGAAAAGCCAAATCTTAACCAGCGAAAGAGGTAAACAAAAGGGTGATTTTGAAAAGTATTATAATGTCAAGACTCCTCTCCAATGTTATTTGGGACAGTAAGGCTTGCTTAACCAAGTGTACCTAGGGGCAAGTCTATCTCTTGATAGATGGTCTCGGTCCACTCTTGTGGACACATCAAGCGGTTGTATGATCTCATGAGCGCCACCTTTTGGATTCAGTGAGTTTGAATGTTGAACTCTGTAACAGAGACTTAACGTTAGTAATGGACAAATTCAATAAACCCATCGACTTTGTTTCTTTTTTTTTTGGGTACATTCTGCCATTAACACTCATATTTAGTATGTCGAAACTTTTGATATTGTTCATCACTGTTTTCCAGATTAATTGGAAGAAATTTTTGAGGAAACCAAGTGGTTAGTGGATAAGGTTTATGATACACCGCATCTTGATATGGGGTCACGTTTAATTTTTTTTTAGCTTTTGTTCTCTATGAGCTTATTTCAATTGAGTTTTCAAGTGTTTTATGTTTGATATTATCTTCTTCATAAAGTTAGGGTTTATTCGAGTCTTCCATTTGGTTATTTTCAGTTTACGTGAGTTGTAGGTGTCACACTGATTACTTCACTTGAATGAGTTATTAGAGATCTAATCGTTTATGCTCTGTTTCGTATTTCAGGTTTGTGCAGAAAAGAAAAGAAAGAGAGACGAGATTTACAAGTTCGCAAGGCCTAAATACCGGCCGAGGTACGTCTTGGAGAGCTTAACGTCAGCTCTCAAAGCTTTTACTATGTGTATTCCGAGTACAAGAAACCAGGAGAAGAGATACTATAGAGATTACAACCTTGAGTGAGATCAGCTATGGAGAAGATACACTTTCTCTCTCTACTCTCTCTCTAGTTCTAACTTTCTCTCCTGCTTGTCACTCACACAACCGTCACACCCACCTGAGTAACGTCGTTATTCCTTTTGTATCAGGTCCAACTCATTCTCGTTGAGCACCTTGCTTTTTGGCTGTTTCCGTAACAAACCTTATCACCAGCTTCAAGCATCTTTGACCTGTTGACCAACAAACAAAACGACTCACTCCGTGACCAGGTACTGGGCTCCTTTTAAGCTCTATCCCGTTGGGCCTATATTTAATTCACCAGCCCAACAAATAAGCTTAAACCCTATAGCCTGAAACGCATCGTTTCTTCACATTCTCCACCTCGATACGATTCAGACCACCAAAGTAGATCTTGACCGACCCACTTCACTCTTCCTCCGACACTTTCCCTTGTCGGAGATCTAACTCGATTCCGAGCTAGATTCAGTCTCTGAGTACCCTCAGATGACTCCTTCCATCTTCGAACTTCGCAACTGGTACCGGCTTCGTAAGAATATCCGCCGGATTTATCTTCGTGTCAATCTTTGACACCACCAAATCACCGTCATCGATCACATCTCTGATAAAGTAGTAGCGAGTTTGGATGTGCTTCGTTCTCTCGTGGAAGACGGCATTCTTAGCTAAGCAAATCGCGCTCTGTGAGTCACAAAAGATTTCAACCATCTTCTGAGGAAAACCCAACTCACTGGTAAGTCTCTTTAACAATAATGACTCCTTTGTTGCTTCTGCTAATGCCATGAATTCAGCTTCCGTTGTTGACAAAGCAACGATCTGTTGTAGGCCTGAGCGCCAGCTCA